ACTACAATTTTTAAAGACAAACTTGTAATAATTTATTTCTTATCTTGTTTTCTATTATTTGAAAATATTTCCTTAAGAAACATCAGTGCTAAAAGAAAGAAAGAAAGAAAGAAAGAAAGAAAGAAAGAAAGATCGGTGCTTAAGTACAACATTAGAAATACTAAGTTTTCTTAGCCATGAATGAAGTATAGAAAATTTTAACTTCTCTTCATTGAAATGATGATCACTATTACCTAAGAAACCTAAGATAATGATGCCTCATGTAGCTATAAGCTATTAATCTGCTTCTATTTCATAAACTTACAAGAAAACACAACATTTAGCAACCCAAGAAAAGTATAAGCCAGCACAGATTCATCTATCTAGATAGCACAGAATAGAAAATGATTTATTGGCAAGAGGGCAGAGAAACCTGCTTCTGGAATTGCTTAATGTTGGCCTGAGAGCCAGATCTTTGACCTCTCAAGGCTTTGTTTCTTCCTTTGCAATACAGAGATAATTATGCCTTTCTTTCAAGGTGATTTTAAGAATTAAAGCAGATGACGGCCCTAAAAAGTTAAAAGGACTGCATAAATGTGAGGTATTATTATTGATTGGCATTACTACTAAGTAGTAGGAAATACACCCCAGCACTTTACACAGTGGCCATTTTAGGGATTTTTCTTCTGCCCAGTGCAGAATCTTCCTTCTGAAAGCAATATTCTGGTTTCAATTTTAGGCTTTTTTTTCTTTTTAAATTGAAACTTTGGCCAGGTGCAGTGACTCACGCCTGTAATCCTAGCACTCTGGGAGGCTGAGGCAGATAGATTGCCTCAGAAGTTTAAGACCATCCTGAGCAAGAGTGAGACCCCATCTTTACTAAAAATAGAAAAACTATCTGGGGGCATTATGGTGGGCCCCTGTAGTCCTAGCTACTGGGAAGGCTGAGGCAAGAGGACTGCTTGAGTCCAGGAGTTGCAGGTTACTGTGAACTAAGATGCCATGGTACTCTATTCAGGGTGATAGAGTAAGACTGTCTCAAAAAATAATGATAATTAACCAATTAAATAAAATAATAAAAGAAATTGAAATTTCACAAAATAATAATGGTTTGTCACATTCTTAAGGAAATGTGTTTCTTGAACTAAAACACCAGTTTAGGTGTCTCGGGTCTAAGGAGCTTTCCCTCCTCCCCCGTGGAAATGTATCTTTAACATGATGCGAATCAATGAGACAACACTATTGATTTATAAAAATTAAGTTTGTAAAATTATTTTTGAGACAGAGTCTTACTACGTCACCCTGGGTTCGAGTACTGTGGTGTCACAGCTCACAGCAATCTCAAACTCTTGGGCTTAAGCAATTCTCTTGCCTCAACCTCCCAAGTAGCTGGAACTACAGGCGCCTGCCACAATGTCTATTTATTTTTTAGTTGTAGTTGTCAGTGTTTGGCAGGCCGGGGTTGGATTCAAACCTGCAAGCTCCAGTGTATGTAGCTGGTGCTGTAGCCACTGAGCTACAGGCACTAAGCCATGTTTGTAACTTTTTCTATAACTTTTTTTGAAAAAGGAAAGTCTAAGGGAAATGCCTTTAAGTGTCTCCTTATTGTAAGATTGTAAGTAATAAAAGCATTGGTTGAAAAGAAATAAAAGGGGGGTGGGGCTCAGCGCCTGTAGCTCAGCAGCTAGGGCACTGGGGCTGATGGATTTGACCCAGCCAGGAATTGCCAAACAACAATGACAACTACAATAACCAGGCGTTGTGGCGGGCACCTGTAGTCCCAGCTACTTGGGATGCTGAGGCAAGAGAATGGCTTAAGCCCAAGAGCTGAGAGCTATAACACCACAGTACTCTATGCAGGGCAACATAGTGAGACTCTGGGGGAAAAAAAAGAAAGGAAGGAAGGAAGGAAACATTTGTTACTAAAGCATTCTCTTCCATTTTAGTTTTGAACCATCAAGAATTTTGTTAACCCAGGGGCTTCTCAAATTGCAAGATTAAGCTTGGACTATAGAGCAAAGGGGGCGGTGGTGACAGTTATAAGAGAAGGATTGACTGCTCTGGCTGGAGACCAAAGGGTGAATTAGGTGACCTTAGAAAGGCTCAGAACTCAAAGGGCCCCCACCTCCCTACAGACTCTTAGGGCTGCCTCTGCAGGCATTCCCATTCACAGCCTGTAGCTGGTGTTTATAATCACAACTAAATGGTTGTTAATTATTTAACCTAGCACTTAAAGGAGTACATTTAAGTTATTTGAAAAAGCCTTCATTAATTACCAGTACCACATAATAGATGAAGCTCTGTGCATAGGGCAGTGAGACACCTGCAGCAAACAGTGTCTCTTGACTCTGTCCAGGTCCTCAGAGCCTGACACTTTCCCAAGGAGAGCCAGGCCACTGGGCGACAAGCCTTGTAGCCAGTAGGACTGGCTCCTGGGAGGACACCAGGCTGTGGATGAGAAAGCTCTAACTGGTCATTCCATCTCTCTTTCTTCCTCCCTTGAGGATGTAAGTTTCAGCTCACTCTCCGAAAAAGAAAACAGCAATTTTGAGAAACTTGCCTTACAGTGAATACGGATGCAATCGTAATAGTATCGCCACTCATCTGGAGAAAATGTAATGGTGATCTTTAGAGATAAGCCAGGGACGAGGCGGTGCTCCTGGAAGACAAGTGGGCTCTTGTCACTGTGGGTGACAACACACTGCACACCTGACTCATGCAAGCCCAAGACACAGAAAGCCACAACCCACAAAGAACACCCGGGGGAGGACAGGTAACCAAACGGTGCTTACCTTTTTCACATAATTGATCTGAAAGTATTTGGTTTGTGGGGGTAAAACATGAACATGTGTATCTTCGTCAGAAACATTGACCAGATGCTGGGAGAGAAAAGAGGCATTTAGAGTAAATGCACTTGTTTAATTTCTTTGCATATTCATCGCCTCATTTTTTATACATGATCTTTATTCCTAAAGGGATTTGAGGAGATAGCATGTGTTTTTTTAAACGTTTTAAAAAATTGGAAATACAAAACACTCCATTTAAAGACTAATAAACACACACACACCATTTTGAGAATAATAAATTATGCCCTATGTTCCTATTGCCCCCTTAGGAACAGTAGCAGAGCCTGCAGTCCCTGGTCCCCCACCATATTTACAAGCCCTCCCCCACAATTCTGAACAATTATGCTGTGTGCTTGCTGTGGGACTCAATTTAGTCCTGTGACTCGGCTGAGCTAAGAAGCCAGCCACCAACTCCTACAGGTTCTCCAGGTACATTCCACTGGTTTGGGGCACCAGAGGATACTTCAGCCATCAGAAAACCAGAAAAGAGAATATGGTGAGAACAGCCACTAATCCCTCCCTAGGGCAAATGAAAAGGCAAGGTTGGGAGTTCTCTGACAGTGACAGGAGAAGGCCACCCCTGTGAGGCAGGATCACCTGTGGATAAACTAGCTGGATCTCTGAAGAAAGAGGTGTTTCTCCCTCCTTTGCTTGAGGGGAAAGCAAAAACTTGGGGTTCTGGGGATCTGCACTTCGCCTGGGCCAGGAAAGGTTGAGAGACTTTTGGTTTCTAAAGTCTAGGCCAGGCACTGGACCTGTCGCCATTATCTCTCAATGAAATTACACTGTGTTTGCATGTTAAAAGTTCTTCTTTGTTACATGTGACCATTCAACCACAATTTTTGTGACCCTGTTTTTACATATCATCTTTATTATGTTAAAAGCCTAAAAAAAAAAAAAAAAAATTCCCAGGCTTTCTTGACCTCCAAGTGGCAGTCTTAGAGAAGGTGTGGGTTCCCAGCATCCTGACCCAGTCCTGAGCATGGAAGGAGAGGTGTGTTGGGCCCATCACACTCAGAGCTCTGGGCCTGGAAGTGGTGACAAAGAGCTGTGTCCTCAAGCTCATCATAGGGGGAGGATTGTGAAGGCCTCACGCCAGAGTCCAGAGAGAACTGGAGCAGAAGTGCTTCTAGTATCTGTCATTTGATTTAAAATAATTCAGTAAGGCAACAAACAGGGGTATAGGAACTGGTTTGTCTTTTTTCTTTGAGCCGCTTTTCATGTTTACCCCCAGGGTGGTTAACCTTAGAAGAAATCAGCAATCCACACACCAGGAGTACTTAGCACTAAACAAAGTCATCCAGCATCCACACTCCAGGAGTACTTAGCACTAAACAAAGTCATCCAGCAT